TCTCGTCGCCCCCCCCCCCCCCCCCCTCCTCCGCCACACACACACCTTTTTGGTCACAATTTCAGATGTCCAGAAAAGTTGCAAGAATAATACAACTTTTTGCTGGAAACTTTGCAAGCAAGTTGTCAACATGCCCTATCATCCCTGAAAACTTGAGTGTTTCCTAAACAAGGACTTTCTCCTTTATAAGCATAACAGGAAGTTGCTACCTCATGACCTTTGACCTTCCCTGTCATCACACGCCCCAGGAGCAGCCCTTTTAGCACCAGGGTCCGTCTAGAATCCATGTCTTGGGTCTAGAGTCGGGGCCGCAGCCAGACCTCTTCAGTAGTCAGTTCTTCAGACAAAGGGCCCTGGACAGATCTGGAGGCACCAGACGGGGCCTGGGCCTGGGCCTGGGCCTGGGCTTGCACTGGGCTGTCGCCTTGGCAGGAGAGCAGTGGGAATCCCCATCTGGGAATGGACTCCCTGGGGCTCCTGTCTACGGGCCTTGCCTGGGAGAGAGTGGAGGCACGGCCAGGAGTGTGAGGGCCTGGGGCAAGGGTGTGTTCACATGGGAGCTGGCCAGCTGGCCATCACAAGTGTGCCCAGTCCTGGGTGGGTTTTCTTTTTGGACGAGTGTCCTCTAGAAGACTAGTCCCCTTACCCTCACCCCCAGCTCTCACTCCCATGGGCCCCAGGCCCCGGGCGGCATTGCTCAGGGGCTGAAGGGTGGAGTGAGTGCAGGTGGCCTATTCTGCAGACCAGGAGCTGAGATGGACACTGAGAGCAGAGGCTGGGACGAGCCTCCGCTGGCCCTGGGCCCCAAGGGGCGGGCAGAGGGGGGCCCTGAGAATGCATCTGCTGGGGCTGAGGGAGCCTGTGCTGGCAGGTCCTTGAGGGTCGGCCTGCAGATCTCCGCAGACTACTGGTGGTGCACGAACGTCGTCCTGCGAGGGGTGGAAGAGGTCTGTCCGTGCGTCCTCGGTGACAGCTGGGCCTGTCTGTGCTGTGGGGCGGGATTCTGGAGGAGCTGGGTGTTGGGTGGACTGAGGAGGTGCCTGCCTGCCCCCATCCCCCCTCCATGCCTGTGGTCAGAACAGCCCGGAGTACTTGGAGGTGATGTCTGCGTGTCATCAGCGGGCGGCTGATGCCCTGGTGTCTGGGGCCATCTACAATGGGGGCCTCTACGTGAAGCTGGGCCAAGGGCTGTGCTCCTTCAACCACCTGCTGCCCCCCGAGTACATCCAGACGCTGCGTGTGCTGGAGGACAGGGCCCTCACGCGCGGCTTCCGGGAGGTGAGCCCCACCCTGGAGCAGAGGCTGGGCGGGGCTCAGCCTGGCCTCCACGCTGCCCTAAGAACCCTCTCCACCAGGTGGACGAGCTGTTCCTTGAAGACTTCCACGCCCTACCCCACAAGCTCTTCCAGGAGTTTGACTACCAGCCTATTGCCGCCGCCAGCCTGGCCCAGGTCCACCGTGCCCGGCTGCACGATGGCACCGTTGTGGCTGTGAAGGTACAGGGTCCCCCCTGCTGGCGGTGGCTGGGGAGGCGGCAGGCTTGGGTGGCCGCAGGTCAGTGCCGTGCCCACGCAGGTGCAGTACATTGACCTGCGGGACCGCTTCGACGGGGACATCCACACCCTGGAGCTCCTGCTCAGGCTGGTGGAGTTCATGCACCCCAGCTTCGGCTTCAGCTGGGTCCTCCAGGTAACGACCCTGGGCAGGAGCGGCACCCTCTGCTGTGCGGGGCTGTGCCTGGCTTTGACCTGCCTGCCCATCTGGCCCCCAGGACCTGAAGGGGATCCTGGCCCAGGAGCTGGACTTTGAGAATGAGGCCCGGAACGCTGAGCGCTGTGCACAGGACCTGAAGCACTTCCACTACGTCGTGGTCCCCCGAGTGTTCTGGGACGTGTCCAGCAAGGTGGGCTGGGTGCCCTGTGGGCGGGGGCCGGGACGCACGGCCTGCTGAGCCCAGCCTCTCGCTCTCTCCCAGCGCGTGCTGACAGCCGAGTTCTGTGAGGGCTGCAAGGTCAACGATGTGGAGGCCATCAAGTCCATGGGGCTGGCCGTGCAGGATGTGAGTGCGTGTGCCCAGGTGTGGAGTCGGGAGGGTGTGCCTGTCGCGTGCACAGGGAGTCGCCGGAGGGAGGGGCACCTCCTGTGCCCTGTGACAGTGGCGTGGCCGTCCCTGCCCAGATCGCTGAGAAGCTCATCAAGGCTTTTGCTGAGCAGATCTTCTACACGGGCTTCATCCACTCCGACCCCCACCCCGGCAATGGTATGAAGCGCCGCAGTGGGCAGGGCTGGGGCTGGGGCGGGGGCTGGAGCGGGCCAGCATGAGCCCTGTGCCCTGTCCTTAGTGCTGGTGCGGAAAGGCCCGGACGGGAAGGCAGAGCTGGTGCTGCTGGACCACGGCCTCTACCAGTTCCTGGACGAGAAGTAAGTGTTGGGGGTGCAGGGCTGAGCCTGTCTTGCCTGCCCTGCTGAGCTGGACTCACTCTGGGCCCCACAGGGACCGGTCAGCCCTGTGCCAGCTGTGGCGGGCTATCATCCTGAGAGATGACAGCTCAATGAAGACGCATGCGGCAGCACTTGGGGTGCAAGGTGAGGCAGGGTGTGTGTGTGTGCGTGCCCGCACAAGGGCACACGGGCACGCAGCTTGACTCAGCCCGCCCCCAGACTACTTCCTGTTCTCGGAGGTGCTCATGCAGAGGCCTGTGCGCCTGGGGCAGCTGTGGCGCTCCCACCTGCTGAGCCGAGAGGAAGCGGCCTACATGCAGGCCATGGCGCGGGAGCACTTCGAAGGCATCATGGCCGTGCTCAAGGCCCTGCCGCGGCCCATGCTGCTCGTGCTGCGGAACATCAATACCGTCCGCGCCATCAACACTTCCCTTGGTGCCCCCGTAGATCGCTACTTCCTCATGGCCAAGAGGTGGGTGTTGGCAGGGAGCCCGGTGGGGTTGGGGGTGGGGGCAGGGGGAGAGCTGGGTTGGGCTGACCATGTCTCTGGCAGTGCTGTCAAGGGCTGGAGCCGCCTGGCAGGCTCAGCGTACACGAGTGTCTATGGCACCAGCCTCCTACGCCACATCAGGGTCATCTGGGAGATGTTCAAGTTTGAAGTGGCCCTGAGGTAAGTGGACAATTGGGGCCCAGCAGGCACATGGGAGGCCAGGGCCTGCTCCCCACTGATTTGCTACCCCTCCTCTCCCCCGCTCCCCCGCCCAGGCTGGAGACCCTGTCCATGAGGTTCACAGTCCTCATGATTCGAGTGCTGATGCACCTGGACCTCATGCCCAGGGACGAGGGGCTGTATGAGTACCTTGCAACCTAGAGCCCTAGAGCAGGAGGCCCAGACTGGAGATGTGGACACCCCCCAACCCGGGACACTGGAGCAACTGTCGGCTTGAGTGGGGGGACCCCGGGGGCTCTGACCACTGGCAGGGCCAAGAGGCCCTGCAATGACCACACGTACTTCTCAAACCAAACAAATCTTTCTCCTGTGTTTTGTACAAAAAGGGGTGGTGGCAGTGGGGGTCTAGAAGTGGGCAGTCACCCGGTCCGTCTCTAACAGGTCGTCCAGGATCTGTGGGG